GCAAGAAAACAAGAAATTTCTTTGTTTGAATTATTTATGCAAAATGAAAGAAGCATTCACATATTTTAATATTCAAACGAGTGCTATCACAAATGACGTCTACTCAGGAATCAAAGTTTTAAACACCGAATCTGGTGTGTCAAGTCCTTCATTGTTACCGATTTACTGGTACAATGGTTCAGGATCTGTGTGAAGATTTTGTAAACCCTGCTCAATAATTGTTGAATTTCAGACTACATAAGAGAATGATTCCCTAATCTTCTGAATGCGGGTGCATTAAAATAATCAAATCTTTCTTCATAACAAAGGATTATAAGGAACCTTTCAAAATATAAAAAAAAAAAGATTATGAATCATTTAGAACAAAAAAAAAAATCTGAATATAATAAACCAATGCATTTTCGTAAAGGATAAAACAGTTGTCTGCATGTGAGACACTCATTAATAAAACATGGATTTCGATAACATAACATTTTTTGCACTCTCAAAAATCCTCTCAGACATAATAAATTTATTCCTGTAGTTTCTATGACAACACGGATTTTAAACACGCTATAGCATGAGTTCTAATAGACGAAATCAAAATAAGGGAGAGATTGAACGTTTAAATTGTTGTTGCATTTTTGAGTTAAATCTTTCCAATAACAAATTCAGGGAAAAATTTCGCACATTTCCCCTTTTTTCGATGGCTTTACATACTGCAGGATTATAAAATGTATTGCTCATAATATTCATTGCTGATGACCGGTTTTCAATTTAATAAAGCATCCATTCAATGTGTAGCAGATGTTGGCTGCAAGCCTTAAAATTATTTTTAACATAAAAATGCTGCTGGAAAATTTTTTTTTGAAAAATAATTTCACATTTTGGCCATAAAAATTTTCTTACTGCCCTCAATTGGTTTTAATTTTTTATGAGCCATGACTATGATGAGAGGAATTTGATATTTTATGCCACTTCATGAAAACATATTTGACTTTTAAGATAGAATTAAAACTTAATCTATCCTTCTATTTATGAAATAAACTGTATTTGAGTCAAGCAGTGCCGAATTTTGATAAATTCATAATGTTGATTATTTTCTCCCCCGATGAAATTAACAGCAATGTGATGAAAAAGTTCCGACAAAAAGTAATGCAAGCATAAAAACAGCTACACATCATGCATTATAAGAGAGAGAAAAAAAGAGTTAAGTTGAATGAGTCAGAATGAAAAGAACAAAAGCAATTCATTGAAAATAAAAAATGAGAAGAGAAAACTTTTTATGAACACAACACACAAAAAGGCTTGAAGAGGAGACATGAAATATGAAGTCTGATTCAATCGAGCACTCAACAAGGTACATATTGAGAAGTACTGTAGAATGAGTAACAAACTTAAAATGCACTTAAGTATAATATTTTATTTCATGCATCCACACTTCACTTGAACTCATAAATAGACTTTTTCTGTTCTTTTTAATCTCAGACATGAAAAATGCAAATTTCCATGTATGTCGAAGTGAAAGATATTAAATAAAAGAGAATAACTTGTTCTTTGTAGCATTGGAAGAGATTAAAGAAATAAACAAGAAGGCTAAAAAAATATGGGAAGTTTATTTTAATTTAACTTCATATAAATCTCAAATTACCAAGATGAAACTACTTGGCGTAGCAGCGACTATCAATCAATAAATAGATTTTCATTGCTTCATTCTTACAGAAATCTTGTAACATCAAGATGAGGAAAGAAGATTAAAAGAAAAGACAAAGAAATTAATACTTTTTTTCCTATTATACAGTGTGTGGTTTACAATTGTATATTGTAAATATTTACAGTGCGTCTGATTAAACGCCATAAAAGCTATTTTACGGTTTAAAAAATTCTACAATAAACCACGGTGAGCTCACATCTGTAGAGTTAAAGTTTGCTTTATTCATTTTCATGGCCCAATTCACAATTTCCCTTGAAAAATTTAACTCATGCATTAAATTAATAGAATTTTACCGAATAAGAATTAAAAAATAAAAGAGATAAATTTCTTTATATTACTTGACATTGAAATATTCACCAGGCACCTAAGAAAATAAGCAGTATTTTAATAAATAATGTAAAGAATGTAAGAAGAAAGTTGCACGATTTTTACCCACGAGGAAACTTCTTGGATAAGTAAAACCAAGTCACAGATGAACATAATAAAAACAAGAATTGTCAAAAACATGGCAACAATGCTTGCAACTAAGAGCAGCCTATTTTTTCACAGCTTTAGCTCATTGCACCCACGCCCATCATTCTTAACTTCATTTTAATTAACTCATCATTATCATCGATATAATGTTTAATATTACATTTTAAATCTCTCGATATGCTTCATTAAGAATAAGAAATAACTGCAATTGAGAGAAGATGTTTAACACAAAGATTGTATTTTTTCTTCTAGTATGACAGTGCATACACATCTCATTTTTCATTTGAATTTACAATTGTTCATTTGAAATTTTTACGTGATTTCTTTTCCTGATATTAAATTAAAAAGACAAAATTAATTAATCTCTTCTGTTTCTAATAGTGAAAATAAAATTCAAACATTTAAAATGCTATAAAAATTAGAATCACAACAAAATTCAACAGCATAAAACTTTCATTTTAATTTCAGAATTTCTTCTTTTTCTGTTATTCAAGTCTCGTGCATTCTGCATTTTGTAAGTTATGGCAACGTCGCAATTGAATTGCATTTCATTCCTAATTTAAAATACTTAACGGTTCATCATCTTAGAAATTTATTAGGTCAATTGCATTCTCCTTCCTCATTATGCACGGTTTTCATTTCAATTCAGTTATTCATGGATCTTTTTGCTAAAGATGAACACTTTTCAATTTAAAGTGTCATCATTTGTGAATTATGATAAAACTTTGTAAAAGTCTAAAAAGTTTCAGCTTTTTAATTAAAAATTTTGCAAGAAGTTTTCCTTTAATCCTTTTCTTAACAATTTTTCTTTTAACTGCCAAGATTTGGATGGCAACAGCAGCAAACCATAAAAATGCTTTGTAAGAAATTTCACTCTTCCTTTTATCAGTTTGCCATTCATTGAGAAAAATTATCGAAAACAATACTGGTTCTTAAATTGTGAAGTGATTGCGGTAATGTTCAGCAAATTTACACTTGGTTTCCGATAAGTTTTTATCTCATCTAATAATTTAAAATAAATAAAATCCATTATGGAACCCTTATTTTTTCCTCAATCGACAAAAAGTTCTGAAACTCAAAACCACAAAAAAATCATCCATTTTACTAAACGAATCTTTATAGTTTACGAACAATTAATCCAGCATTAAGGTTTTTGCAATTTCTTGATGCTTTAAATTTGGTATTGAATTAGCAAAACCATCCATTTTTAATTTCGTTGTATTTCATTACACAATCATTTATTCCACAGTATTTCATCATGAGTAGTCAAAGGAATTGAACGTTAAGATTCAATAAATAATTAAAATTTATGAGCGTCGAGTCATAAAAATCAATTTATGTTTTGCAAGTCGCCTACAACGGTCGCTTGTGCAATACATTTGACAGTAAAGAGACGTTGTCAGGAGCACGAATTGAATTGTTATTTTATTTGCATATTTTTCATTTAAGAAATTGAGGAACTATAAAAATTTCATAGAAAATAATGCTCATTTTAATTGCCAAAAATTTGGAAACATCACACATGTTTTAAATATTCAAAAAAATAATAAACTTCGTCAAATGTTAACATACATGTAGATAAATGTTGGAAAAAAATTTACGAACTGCCCGCATTTGCATACATTGCCAAATATGTCTAACTTGTTGATTTGTTTTTATCATGCCGAATTTCTTTACTGTTATACAAAATGGAAAATTAATTTATTTTACGTTTTATTTCAATGGAACCTTAGGCACCCAAAAAAAAATATGTGTAGGCATTTCGTCGAACCATCAAATTTCAATTCAAATTCTTCCATTTTATTATGAGTATCTTATTGTACAATTAGTTATTCTAATCTCATATTATAAATAACTTTATTTCTTTCTTCTATATGCTCATACTAAATTCATCTCTACACTGTTATTTATGATTTTTAATATTCACTTTTTATGGTGATTTATGGCACATTCATATCTTATATGGGCACATTAATGAAGGTACTATTCATATGCAAAGACAGGAAACTAATTTACATTGTCTGCATATAATAATGATGAAGTGCCATAATTTGCATTTAGCATTTGCATTATTATTATGAAAAGTATGCACTTTAATATGGATGTAGCGAAAGAAAAGGCTTATTCAAGTAAACTTGAACATGAAAATGATTATTATTTTATTAGCTATGATTACCAACAGATGAACTTGATGCATTCCTACAATTTTATATTCATGCATGTTTACATCATTCAAAGCTCCTCACGCGACATTTTCCCTTTCAATTATATTCAATCAAAAGCTATGAAATGAACACTTCAATCACTAACAAGTGTCATTTTCGAGCCCTTCATAAGTTCATGTTACTTATTACGCTAGCTTGTTATTGTTATCATAAGTGATTATTGAGCAAAGAATTTCTTTCAACGATTTATGTTATGCTTTGATAATAAATTGTATTGACTTCGTGATTCAATTTGGGAATGTAAAAACAAAATCACAGTACATAGAACGGCATAGTACATTGAAATTGGATTCTTATAGAAACAGAAAATTGAAAACAGAAAATAAAGAGGCGTAAATAATTTAGATGATAAGTTTCAATTTCATATCATGAAATATACATATTTATGGAATAAAACGTATGACTTTACTTATCTTTCAATAAACTAATTTAACGATTTTAACTTGTCAAAATGGGTTCAGGACAAAAATTGTGATAGCTGATTAAGTCAAAGCTATATCAAAATCATAGCCAACCTCATATGTGAGAATACAATTTATCGCATCGCGTAATGCATGATGAATGTAATTTAATTTATTTTAAATGAAGCTGTGCACGCTTATGCTTACCTCAAATAGCTTTTTGATGGCGCACGTGTTTAATAAATTAAATGATGCAATTTATTAATTCCACAAATTCTGCAATTGCAGAGGATGGATTAAACACTTTTTACTGACACTTATTTTTTTTTTGAGAAATACTTTTGGTTGCCTCTTTGTTGACAATTTTATATCTTTTTTTGCAATCACGCTTATTTTTATTTTATGCACTTATTAAAGCACTTTTTAATTTTTTTTCTTCATTTATTAAATTCTTTCAATTATAATATGCACTCAACGCAGTTTATGATGGAATAAAGCTGAAATCTACACTAGAGTTTTATGTCTGTTGATAATTCCAAACACGGGTCAAGTCTGAAATGAAAAAAAAGAGAAAAACATGACTTTAATAAAATTTAATCTCGGGTCAATTCATTAACACTATTGCTGTAAATTTTATTGAATTTTATAAGTTTTTTCGTCGCCCTGATTTCCCATATGCTGTACATGCCTCTTCTCTGTCCCCAGTTTATTAGCTTGAAATTATTTCATTAATTTATATAATCTCATTCTTCTATTAATCGTTTAATTTCATCAATTTAAAATTCATTCTATTGCAACATAAATTAGAGCATTCCGTGCCAATGTGTCGTTATCAGCATGTCATATATTAATCACATAAATAAGAACTTTCAATTGACAATAATAATTGTATTGAGAATGAGAAATAAATTTCGAGAACTCTTAGCATTAACAACATTGTAAATGCTTGTATTTCTCATACGAGTAAAAATATGTCTGAAGGGGCCTTTATCGTCTGTTTAATTGACAAATTATTTGTTTTAATTAAGAGACAGAACGCAAAGTGATGAGACATCATAATAACAATAATGTTATTTCAGTTTTGTTTTATGTTTACTTTAGCTACATTGTGTCTCTATTAAAAATGCAGTTAGCTGTTATCTATGGTAAATTTAATATGTGCTTTAATTGTGTCATCTAAATTTGCTTCCATTGCTAATTTTAATTAAGATGTACGGTTGACAAAGTTGCAGCTTTTATTTAAAGTGTTCATATTGAAGATTCCTTATGAAATTTTGTATCCAGTAAATTTTAAAATTTTCAACATACTCAACTTAAATGCGTTGTCAAAAATCATCAAGAAATTTTCCTTACTTCAAATGTATGCATAGTATAGTCACTTAACAAACAGCATATGTTCTGAACAGTTACTGCATCAAGCAGCATTATGAAAAAAATGAAGTTCTTTTCATCCATACAAAATTTTATCTATCTTCACGTTTGACCGCATTTTTAATTAAAATAAATATTTTCTTCCATTTTTTTTAAAACCGCTAAATGCTTTAAAGAGAAAGAAAAACTTTTATTAGCATGAAGTACATTTTAACCGAAAGACTGCATGTGGTTTGTATATAGACATGCATTATGCTAAAATGTATCCAGGCAATTGAAACTAAAAAGCTCTTCTCTGTTTTCAGAAAGTGGAAATGTAATTTATATTCTGTACTTGAATGCAAAAATCTTAAATCATCATTTGTCAATTTAACAAAATATATAAATTCATATTTATGTAAATGAACTTCCTGCCTTGCATTTGCTGCACCTTCAATTTCAATGAATAGAACCTCATTATTGCACCGCAATAGTGTACATAAATCAACAATTGTGAAATGAGAAAAAGAAAAGAATTACTGTGAATGTTTTCATTTCTTTGACATTTTTTTATAAATAAAATAACAAATTACTTTAATGAGAGGAGCATAAATGTTTTTACAATGTTTTGCTTTACATCACGACATCTAAAAAAATTATGAGTCATATGAAAACGTCTTAATATAATGGAAAATAAAAGCATAAAAAAGTTTATCGATCTCTATTTGGCGCCAACAAGGGAGATTGTTGCATTTTTACTCTGTCAGTTTGTTCCACCCTCATCAAATAACATCAAAATGAATATAATCATGTGTCAATTTTGAAAAAGCATGAATCACAATTTTATTATTCTTATTTTTTATAATCTCTTTATTTTTTGTGGTTATAACTTCAAAAACCATTTATTTTTTTGAAAATCAAAAGTTCTTCTTAAAATTAAATCAAATTTTCCACGCAAAGAGCTTGTAGTTCTTCCTGAATACTATTTCTATTGATGTTTAATTAGTTGCTATTCACATAAACCAAATAGCAAAGAAAATTTATAGCCGGAAATTTTGCTTTGGTATGTTACAAAGTTTTATGTAGTTTTTTATTATTTTCTAGAAATACTCAAAGCATCAGTCAATAATCGATGGCGCATGAAGCAAATTTATATTTCACCCACTAATGGAGATTAATGTGAATAAGCGAGCGACAAAAACAAAAAAAAAAGTATTGAGGAGAACCTCAATCAATGTGATAGACATAATTTCTTCTTTTTCCTTCATTCCTCTCTCAATGATTTTTCTGTTCCGAATATCAAATGCGTTTGACTCAATTGATTGGAAACAATCCGCAGAAATATTTTTCTTTTCGACTATCGAATAAACACATTTTGATTATTTTAGTAGAAATCATAAGAATTTATTTGTATGTTGTGGATCCCTTATTGACCATATCTATATTTTGTTAATTTATTCATATTTGCTTTGATTGTATACACATTGAAAGCATCACAATTGAATTTTATGACTCGTCGTTCATAAATTTTCATTGTTTATTGTGAACAATAAGTATGCCCTGTGCCCACTTGGATTGCTTATAAACTAGATGTGATTAAATATGCTTGTTACTAATTGTTGATTCAAGAAACAAAAATAAATTTTCACATTTACAAAAACATTTTTGTCATATTTATTGCTAGCTTACTCTCTAAATTGAACGCAATCATTGATTTAAATTTATGTACATTTTTTTGTTTCCAATGCAATAAAAATAAAATTTATTTCAATTTTTTTTCCAAATTCCATGTCTCCAGTCAGGGACACATCCAGAACATATTGTCGTTCAAGATACAAATCCGATTCAACAGTTTAATTTTATTAGACTTACTCTTAGAAAATTTTAAAGCTAAGTATTCTGATTAGATGGATCCACAACGTTCCTTTTAGAATACATCCCTGCCTCTGATATCATGAAAAAAATTTAATGATTTTTCCAAATGTTTGCCATTGTTTAAATTGAAATTTTTATTGCAATAAAAATATCATCAAATAAAATTGTAGCAAATTAGAATTGAGCACTTACTGATCTATATCTTCATATTTTCTTGTTAAATTTTTTTCTTAATCTTCTTATTTTAAAGTGTCAATTGAATGTTATGTTCAACAGAATTAAAATTGTTTTCACATGCATTCCGAAGCACTATATATGGAAGAGAAATAAATTCCAATGTGTGAATTTCCACATTCATGCTGAGGTCTGCAAAGCTTATATGTATCAGCAAGTGATTCTTAACCTGCGTGTCATGAGAACTTTGGAAGAGTTAGAAGTTAAAATTTAGATCAGAATGAAAAAGTCTGTGAGAAATATAAAAGATAACAGCATGGGAAAATTGAATAAAACGAGAAAAGTAAGGAAATGTAAAGCTTTAAAACTATAACACTCTATAGCACTTTTCTCATTTCCAGTCTCCTTTATTTACTGTTGTTTTGCTTCCTTTTAAACTTGTTTTACATTTCTTATTTATTTCAATTGGATGCAGTAACAAATATTTAAGAGAATAGCAGAATTGAATGAAATTGACCCAATAAATTCTTCATGTGTTCTTTAGCTCCGTATTTTCTGTTATTTCATATTTGAAATTGTATTTAACTTAGAGATTGGATGAAACTAAAATGCGACGTTGCCACAATTTTAAGCATGCATCATGCACGAGACTTGGATGGGGGAAAAGAAGAAGAAATTCTTAATTTAAAATGGAAAGAGTTGAGTTAGAAGTGTTTATAGTGTTGATTTTTGTAGAGAAGTTGTTATTTTCATAGGAATTAATTAGTGAACTTTACTTTTCATTATGTTGTACCATGAATTTATAGCAATGAAAAATAATTAATGTAACTTTTGAAAAATATCATATTCATCAACTTTCAAATGTATGCGTTTTTCCAAATTTTAATAGACAGGGAAACAAGAAATCTGTGTGCTGCTGAATAAGAGTAAACACAAAGAAGTTTGAAAATATGAAAGATTTAAATTAAGTATAAACATAATATTGATGATAATGATGACTTAAGGTGAAATTGAGAAAAAAGTGTGTAGGTGGTCATGCGTTGTATAAGTTCCTTTAAATAGCATCGTTGCCATGTTTTTAATCATTCTGAATTTTTCTCATATTTGTTTGGTTTGTCTTTGACTTTGGTTTATTTGTTTATCTAAAAAAAATTCAATTCTCGTGGGTGAAAATCGTGCAACTTTTCTTCTTCTTCTTCTTTTCTTACTTCATCTTGCCACCATCGTCAAGCTTATTCTTTTTAAATACATTATTTATTGTGATGCCATTAACTGGAAGAACTTTATAATCCGATTTTCAACTTCTCTTGTCTTGTTTATCTACGTTTTTTTCACAGCTCGAATAGCTGTTATGCAACTATTCATTTTACAGTTCTATTAATTTTATTGGATCAATGATTTTATTTACTTTTTAAAAATAAGAAGACATTTGAAGGGGTCAATGTATTAATTCATTTGGAATTTTAATAAAAGATTTATAAAATTTTAATTGTAAATGCATTTATAGAAGAAAAAAAATTATGGCAGAAGATGGGTTTATTTTAAAACATTTTAACTTTCTATACACGTCATTTGTGGATGACACTTCAGAAGCATTAAAATAGTTTGTTTTATAAATATTTACACTTTTAAAAAATGTTTAAAACGTAAGCCACACACTAGTGTAAAAAGTATTGATTTCATTTCATTTAGTGATTGTCCACACATAGTGAGTTTAGATAAGCTAGTCTAATCCCCATAAAGTAGTGAGCTCACATTGCCGCAATGAACATTTACAAAGAGTTAAAGTTACTTTAATAAATGAAATTTGAGATTTTCATATTTTAAATGCATACGCTTCAAAAGTTATAAAAAATAGAAATTAAATGAGTATGAGAACTTTCAAAAATGTCTGACAGAATATTTGTATAAGATATAAAATATAAAACTAAGAGGGATAAAAAAATGAGTTCGAGAGAAGTGCAGATGTATAAAAATAACACGCTAAAATGTTTTGCTGTTAAGTGCAGTTTTTAACTTGAACAATTTTTTATGTACATTGCAGTGTTTTCACGATTTATACTTTGTTGAGTCAGACTTCGTATTTATTCACATCTCCTCTTCAAGCCTTTTTGTGTTGTGTATGCAGAAAAGTTTTCTCCTTTCGCTATTAT